CATAATGGAAAGTGTGTGTGGAAGAGTACATGAAGGAAAAGATAGAAACAGGGAAATATAATAGGCTAGGAAAATTAAAACAGAACTGCCTAGAGGCTTATCTGTCAAGACCACCCCTTTGGGGAGGAGGGGTTTCCATGGGGAACAAGGCATCAAAGTTCAGATAAACTATGAAAGTTGAATTAAAGGTAAATTTTCATATGTGTAAATAACATAAAAAAGAAAAAAGAATCAATACTCAAAAGATTATATATTGAAATATATTGATTTTGCTTAAAAAATGATTTTGAATAGAAAGTTTCTTTTCCTATAGATGTTAACCTATAGCTTTTTTTTCTCTATACAAACCCTTTTCACATTCAAGATAGTGGTATTGTGCATGTCCTCCCTCTTTCCCTAACTCCTGTTGTATGACAATCTCTGTATGTACATACACACACTTAACCCTTTTGAGGTTGGTCCTGTTATATTACGGCTTTGAAGCCAGTGTCGGTTCCATAGTCCTACACCATGAGCTCGGCTCGCTCAGATAAGCTGTGAGCTGTAAATTTGGACCTAGATGTAAGAGAATTGGTCTACGTGGTAAGTGTGCACCACATCAAAAATCCTGCATCAAGCAGTGGGGAAAAAATGCAACCGTGTTATTGGTTTAAAACGGCAACTTTGTGGTGTATTTTTATGTAGTTTTTATGGTTGTGTTCTCGGTTTCTTGGTCTTATTGATAGAATGGAAGATACATTACAGAAATAGAGATGATTTTGATAAGTTTTAGGACTGAATATAGCTCGAAATTGAGCTAAAAAATAGCGGAAATATTCAATTTTTGCTGATGTTCAAGAGTAAACCACCACATCACGTGTCCCATACGCATCAACTGGTGGGTCTGATATGTGTTTATGAATGCTCTGATATTATTTATACAATTATTACAGTAATGCATAACAGTGAATCTTGTATTTTTTTGTGCTAATAAAAATTACGTGAATAAAAAATCAAAATGGAATTCATGTGTAAAGCCTGGAAACATAACTAATGAACAGAGGGAATGTTATTTTAGTGCCAGGAATGTCTGCATTGTTTATTCTGGACCCTATTTTTAAATTTGAATATTTTGAAATTTGTGTGAAACTGGCCAAATTGCCAATTTCTGATCACTTGATTGGGTAGTTGAAATAGTTGATTGGGCGATTTCTTGTGCTCATTTGATACAGTGGAAGATAAGCTGGCAAAATAACTTGAGAATTTGGTCAACTGGAGGAATGTAATTGGCCTAAAATTCACAAAAGTGTAATTTCATCAGTTTTCCATCAAATTTTGTACTTTGTTTTATTACCTTCAGAAAGATTTTCTACCATTTCATAAGATATTATTTTTTTTTCTTTTGTGACCCTGAGAGCAAGTAGCAAGTGTGAGAGCAGGGGTCACAACCCTGAAAGGGTTAACAGTGATGTTAATATTTTGGGTTAAGCATTACAGATTTCTTACACTTAAGTGTAACTGGAAACCACATTTGCATCTTAAGTGATTCTTGAGGTATGACCAAGCACAAAAATTTCCTTGTGAAGTGTGCTTGACCTTGTTAAGCATTCACATGCACCATCATACTTGGAAATTGCAGTACGTAATTATATTAATCTTGAAAGAGGTGGGGGATGCAGTTATATTGAAGACTATTTCCTCTTGTTTGTGTAAATACTTTGAGCTTATTAATCAGAGTAAAGGGAGACTAGTGGTTCTATGGCTGGATATGCTGTTGGAGAGTGAGCAAGGTAGAATTTGAAGGATTTCAGGGGAAACTGGTAAGCTAGATGTCTGGTGATACCGGTGGGAAGTACAGTGCAATTGAATAGTCATTTGAATTGCAATGTCTATGCATATCTGGCAAGACATTTTTGAATGAGTGATGGTAAATATTTTTTTCACTCTTTCTTGCTGGGAGATGGCCAGTTTGAGTGGAAAGGGGAATGTTAGGACTTAGTTTTGAAAGTGCTATATTATCTTTGATCTAGTTAAAAATAGGAGAGGAGAGTTATTAAATGGAGAGTTAGAGGTATTGGGAAGATGGAGGGAATATTTTGAGGAATTGTTAAATGTTGATGAAGATAGGGAAGCTGTGATTTCGTGTATAGGGCAAGGAGGAATAACATCTTGTAGGAGTGAGGAAGAGCCAGTTGTGAGTGTGGGGGAAGTTTGTGAGGCAGTAGGTAAAATGAAAAGGGGTAAGGCAGCCAAGATTGATGGGATAAAGATAGAAATGTTAAAAGCAGGTGGGGATATAGTTTTGGAGTGGTTGGTGCAATTATTTAATAAATGTATGGAAGAGGGTAAGGTACCTAGGGATTGGCAGAGAGCATGCATAGTTCCTTTGTATAAAGGCAAAGGGGACAAAAGAGAGTGCAAAAATTATAGGGGGATAAGTCTGTTGAGTATACCTGGTAAAGTGTATGGTAGTTATTATTGAAAGAATTAAGAGTAAGACGGAGAATAGGATAGCAGATGAACAAGGAGGCTTTAGGAAAGGTAGGGGTGTGTGGACCAGGTGTTTACAGTGAAACATATAAGTGAACAGTATTTAGATAAGGCTAAAGAGGTCTTTGTGGCATTTATGGATTTGGAAAAGGCATATGACAGGGTGGATAGGGGGGCAATGTGGCAGATGTTGCAGGTGTATGGTGTAGGAGGTAGGTTACTGAAAGCAGTGAAGAGTTTTTACGAGGATAGTGAGGCTCAAGTTAGAGTATGTAGGAAAGAGGGAAATTATTTCCCAGTAAAAGTAGGCCTTAGACAAGGATGTGTGATGTCACCGTGGTTGTTTAATATATTTATAGATGGGGTTGTAAGAGAAGTAAATGCGAGGGTCTTGGCAAGAGGCATGGAGTTAAAAGATAAAGAATCACACATAAAGTGGGAGTTGTCACAGTTGCTCTTTGCTGATGACACTGTGCTCTTGGGAGATTCTGAAGAGAAGTTGCAGAGGTTGGTGGATGAATTTGGTAGGGTATGCAAAAGAAGAAAATTAAAAGTGAATACAGGAAAGAGTAAGGTTTTGAGGATAACAAAAAGATTGGGTGATGAAAGATTGGATATCAGATTGGAGGGAGAGAGTATGGAGGAGGTGAATGTATTCAGATATTTGGGAGTGGACGTGTCAGCGGATGGGTCTATGATGGATGAGGTGAATCATAAATTGATGAGGGGAAAAGGGTGAGCGGTGCACTTAGGAGTCTGTGGAGACAAAGAACTTTGTCCTTGGAGGCAAAGAGGGGAATGTATGAGAGTATAGTTTTACCAACGCTCTTATATGAGTGTGAAGCATGGGTGATGAATGTTACAGCAAGGAGAAGGCTGGAGGCAGTGGAGATGTCATGTCTGAGGGCAATGTGTGGTGTGAATATAATGAAGAGAATTTGTAGTTTGGAAGTTAGGAGGTGCGGGATTGCCAAAACTGTTGTCCAGAGGGCTGAGGAAGGGTTGTTGAGGTGGTTCGGACATGTAGAGAGAATGGAGCGAAACGGAATGACTTCAAGAGTGTATCAGTCTGTAGTGGAAGGAAGGCGGGGTAGGGGTCAGCCTAGGAAAGGTTGGAGGGAGGGGGTAAAGGAGGTTTTGTGTGCGAGGGGCTTGGACTTCCAGCAGGCATGCGTGAGCGTGTTTGATAGGAGTGAATGGAGACAAATGGTTTTTAATACTTGACGTGCTGTTGGAGTGTGAGCAAAGTAACATTTATGAAGGGATTCAGGGAAACCGGCAGGCTGGACTTGAGTCCTGGAGATGGGAAGTACAGTGCCTGCACTCTGAAGGAGGGATGTTAATGTTGCAGTTTAAAAACTGTAGTGTAAAGCACTCTTCTGGCAAGACAGTGATGGAGTGAATGATGGTGAAAGTTTTTCTTTTTCGGGCCACCCTGCCTTGGTGGGAATCGGCCAGTGTGATAATAATAAAAAAAAAAACTTCATGATTAAAGGCCGTGTCAAATTTGTTAGATTTATTATTTTTAATATATTTAAAATATGAATAGTCTTTATTTACATGAAAATAATCTTGGAACAGTAAAGGTTGGATATATGACAAATTAAAGGTTGATGGTTATACCTCAAGGTCAAAATTTCAAGTTGTGGCTTTTCAAGAGCACACTTAACATTAGAATATGCACTTCAGGTTGCTTACTATTTTTACTTCAGTGCAATGAATCTGCAGAATTATAGCAAAACTAGTAACATAATGTCTGTGTGGAATATCATACAAATGTAGTTGTGTATTCTATTGACACATTTGAGTACAATTTTAGATTAAGCTACTTGTTTGACACTTATTTACCCCCTCCCCCCCTCCCTGCCCCCTACATTCTCTCTCAATCCCTGTATGGTTATGTAGATGAACAGTTGCATCCTTCCTTAACCTAACGTCAAATACAGTACTAGCATTTTCTAATAATTTAATTTTTTTTTTTCATTTTCTCTTGTAAGTCTTTTTTAGTTTCACCTATTTTTTTTTTCTTCTCTGCCAATCATAATCCTTTAAACTAATCTCACATGTTGAGTATTTTATTTAAAGACATTCTATATTATATATCTTTGACACCTTGTTTTTTCTGGAAATACCCCCAATCATTAAGGGGTGGCCTCATGTAATAAATTAGTTTATGAAATTAGCAAAGTTTTAGTAAAGCTTTACTATTAACAATTTAATCATATAAGCTTATTACTTAATAAGTTCAGTTTATTTATTGATATTGCATATATTCAAAATATATAATCGTTTAAAAACACTTCCTAGACATCTAGTGTCATTACCGCTTCCTCATTTTATTGTTGACTTGACATAAATTTAATGTTTCAATACATTTTTGTGACATCCTTCTACATTGCTATAATAAGTCGTAAATTCTCTGCGCTCATACTGCTTTTCTTCAGTGCCAAGGCCCTTTCTTCAATCATGCACTGAAAAATCACTTCACTTTGCTTTAAACTTGCTTGTCCTTTAGCGCCCATCTCACGCAGGTTCAAGACAGGGGGTTGAACAAAAACTATGAGCCGGTCCAGCAGGAACACACGAACGTATGTTTCCCAGATCTCCAGTATTTGGCATGTCCGGTTTTATGATAAGGTTTCTTTTCTTCTGCACAAATTCTTTTGTAGACAAGTACCCCCTTAAGGTGGCAACTGTCCCCACTTTAAGGAATTCAGGTTAATTGCACCCATCTTACTGGGTTTGTGGTCTGTGATTGTTGACTCTGTCACCAAAATTTCTTTGAAAAAATTTTTAATTCGTAATTTTGGATTACTGTACTTGGTAAATTCACTGCAAAACTCAAAACTGCATATAACTTTGCTTTTTTAGTGAATATGTAAAGAGTGATTACTCCTGGCCAGACAGCCAGACTCTGGATTTTCAATATTCAGAAAGTCTAATCATAATACATAATTCCTTTCCTCAGGAGGATGACTCAAGCCAGGACAGTGATGCAGAGTTTGAACAGATGCTGGCTGAAGCTGAAGACATGAACAAAGCTGAGGATGAAGCAGAAATTGCAGCAGGAGCAAAAAAGAAAGCCAAAGCAAAGATTGGGAGTAAGAGCAAAAGGAGAAAGCGTATAAAGGCCAAGGACGAGGATGGTTATGAAACGGACCACCAAGTAAGTATTAAAAAAAAATTGTCCTTAGAATACATATGTAAATACTGACCCTGTTTGCTTCTAAAAGCTCACCATTTTGAAGGGCCACCCTCATGTTTCATTTAAGTACCTTGTCTGAGATGGTCTTGACCCTAGTCTGCACCCCCGACGCAGTCTGCACCCGTGACACAGTCTGCACCCCCGACGCAGTCTGCACCCCCGACGCGGTCTGCACCCCCGACGCGGTCTGCACCCCGACGCGGTCTGCACCCCCGACGCGGTCTGCACCCCCGACGCGGTCTGCACCCCCGACGCGGTCTGCACCCCCGACGCGGTCTGCACCCCCGACGCGGTCTGCACCCCCGACGCGGTCTGCACCCCTGATGCGGTCTGCACCCCCAACGCGGTCCGCACCCTCCGACGCGGTCCACACCCCCGACTCTGTCCACTCCCCCGACGCTGTCTGCTCCCCCGACGCGGTCCGCTCCCCGACGCGGTCCGCTCCCCCGATGCGGTCCGCTCCCCCGATGCGGTCCGCTCCCCCGATGCGGTCCGCTCCCCCGATGCGGTCCGCTCCCCCGACGCGGTCCACTCCCCCGACGCGATCCGCTCCCCCAACGCGGTCCGCTCCCCCGACACGGTCCGCTCCCCCGACGCGGTCCGCTCCCCGACGCGGTCCGCTCCCCCGACGCGGTCCGCTCCCCGACGCGGTCCTCACCCCCGACGCGGTCCGCACCCCCGACGCGGTCTGCACCCCTTACATAATCTGCACCCCGGATATCTCAGGCAGGATTGCTTTTTTTTTTTCTATCATCTCCATCTAAGAGAGCAGTTGTAATTTCAAATAATACTCCCCTCAAAAAAAAAAAAGCCCTGTAGAATGGAAATATTCCCCTCACACAATGACCCTTCTTTCAGATTGAAAGTGCATTTCTGTTGAATTGAATAAGACTAAAGTGAGTGGAGTTGCTAAAAATTTAGATTTTATGGTGTTTTGAAGTTGGAGAAAAAATAATAACTTGTTATCAACAGTGGTGTAAATTTGCCAGTGATATTTGAGATTTAAAATTTATTGATGGCAAAATATGATTGTTTTTCGGTTTTTTGTTTTTCAGTTTTTTGTTTCTTATGATATTAGATGTGTCATGGTGTTTGAGTACTTCAAATATGGGAATATGCAGTATGATGCAAATTGTTAATTCAATTTTTTTTTACTACTTTGGTCTTCTAACACTGTACATACAAGGAACACATATCCTACAATTGTTTTATGAGGTAATACTCCTCAAACATGGAAATAAGTCTCATTGTTTGACTGTATTGGGTTATCCTAGGTTAATTATGATGTTAGATATTTATTTTCGAGGGCATAATCTGGGTTTTGTAAGTAGAATGTAGTGTCTGTGCCCATAACACTTGTGTGCCTTCAATCCTACATTAAAACATATACATATTTAGAAAATCTTAACTATTACAATTGTTTCAAGGTGTAATACTTGTCAAAACATGGAAACAACTCATTGTTTAACTGTATTGGGGTATCCCAGTTTAAATCTGCATACTGCTTTTTGTCTAAATTCTGGTGTTAATATGAAATTGTAATGAATTTGGTCCTGGTTTCATTGTTTACTTATGGTAGTTAGGCAGTGTTACCCATGTTGCACTATGCAGACCTGCATGGTCTTATTTTTTTCAAAGGCATGAAGAGGTTGTGGGACATTATCGCTCCCAGGTCTGACATTAGTTTTTCGTTCTATTGTGTGGTTAGAATTTGTCTTATACTCCGATATACGTAGTTTGAATTTTCTCGTGTTTTCCATTTTGGAGTCCCAAACAGCTATGCCAGGGTCAAAAATATTGGCAGCTGGCATATTTGAAGGCACGCAAATTTGTATGTACTATGTTGGAAACGTAATCCTCGCCTGTGTATTAGTACGGTGGACGCTGTTAAACGGGCTATGCAACAATATACCAAAGATAGATACAGTTGATAGAGTAACAGGTGAGGAAAAGTGGGGAGGGGTACGTTTTTAGTCAGCGTGGCTTTTGAGCAAGCGAGATCTTGCCTCTTGGATCACACTGTTGAAATTGCAGAGACCTTTGATGGACAAGAAAACACTGATGTAGTCTACATAGTATTCTCAAAAGCATTTTATAAATGCAACTATGGACTAATAGCTTGTAAAATGAGGGCAAAAGGTATAATGCAAAGAGTGGTAGTAATGAAAGTGAAGTAGATTACTTGGTTTTTCTTGGTACACTTATCAGAGAATTTTAGTTATATGTCAAGTTTATAATCCTATCAGGTGAGTAATGAAATATGACTTGGAATTAAGTTTAGCTAGTCTTGAGACCTGTAGGTGGAAAACACAGTGCCTGCATTCTAGAGTGGGGATGCTGCAGTTCAGAGGGTCATCAGTCTGAATTGTGAAGTCAGCATTCTTCTGGCAAGGCAGTGATTGAATAACAGTAAAAGTGTTTTTTTTTGGGGGGGGGGGGGCTCTACCTTGGTATTAATATACACTCACATATGTGGTTGCAGTGGTTGAATCTTAGCTCCTGGCCCCACCTCTCAACTTGTCATTTGCCAGATTCACTCCTAGTCTTGTGGACTTTACTGTACCTGTTCTTAAAACTGTGTATGGAATCTGCCTCTACTTATGAATTTTTTTCCTATCTCTTGAACATTAAGGTACCAGGTTAATATTGCTAACTCAAATTTCCATTCATTTTTATGCTTAAGAGATTCATTGCATGTTTCTTGACTCGAGTTCTCAAATTTGTTACTTTTTTAAATCCTGTCGGGGAAAGTGGGTTATAATCATTCATCTGTAGCCAAGCGTGCTATGAAAAGTGACTAAAAACTACAGTGGAACCTCGGTTTTCATCATTAATTCGTTCCAGAAAGTCTGATGAAAACCAAATTCGATGAAAACTGAAGCAATATTTCCTATGAGAAATTAATCTGTTCCAGACACCCAAAAGTTTTTAAAAAAAACACATTTTATAGAGAATAACTATAGTTTTACATACAGAAAACAGTGAGAAATAAATATAAAAGACTAATGAAATGGATAAATTAACATTTAACATCACTTGTACCTCTATTGAAGACTCTTGTTGGCGTATGGAAGACGGTGAGGAGGGGAGAGGGAGGAGAGGTTATATCTACCACCATCACTACCACCCTCTACCACAATCACTACTACCATCACAACCACTACCACCCTCTACCACAATCACTACCACTCTATACCACCATCACAACCACTGCCACCCTCTACCGATGAGAAACAGACACTGACTCAGAACGCGTGAGATGCTTTTGTGTGGGCGCAGGCGGACACATTCGGTAATGTGGACCACTCTCATCTCGATGAAAACCGAGGTGATGAACGAAAATTGGGACAAAATTTTGATGAAAAAAGTCGTTGAAAATCGAATTCGACAAAAACCAGGGCAAACGAGAACCGAGGTTCCACTGTACTAGGTATATGGGACTACCCTTTCTGTATTTAATAAAAAAAAAAGATGAAGGAATTTTTGGAAATTGATTGAATGTGTGAATACAATTTGGATTTTAAGTAATTATTTGGTATGCAACATATTGTCATGGTAATGAGTTAAATAAAGTTAAAAAAATGAAATGTTTGAATTAGCTTATCTGAGAGAAGAAAGGTTGGGTCTATACTGGGGAAGAACAAGGTAAGCATAATTCTATTTGAAAGTGGTTAGAAGAAAGTGAATGACGATGTGTAAAGTGGATAATTGTCAGTGTTTATGAGCTAAGATCTGAGAAGAGCATAGTAAGGAAGTTAGTCCTGGAGGTTTTGAATTGTATCCTAAGGATATTTTTAACCAGTGTCATGATGCAGTACTGTAATTGTTATTTTTAAGGAGACATCACCTAAATGAGATTTGAGGAAGATGGAAAAATTTAAGGTGTTGAGTGTAAATGGCAATTAGGTACCTTTCATTGGCATATGGTGGGTTATTGTCGCATGGTGTGTGTTGTGCATGATATAACTTGTTGTGGGGTGTGCAGATGTATCTTAGACTAACTGGCAAAATATTTCATAACGGGACAGAAAAATTAGTTTCCCATAGTGATCCATAATTATATTATTGAGTGAGCTTAATATTTATGATGAATTGACCATCTTTTGTGGGTGGGTGTCACTCGCCTACCACAGACAGAATATATGCCCCTGGGACCTTTACTTGAATTACTCTCAGAGGTTTGATAATAGGTGATACGAGGTGCTAATGAGAGCACTGCTGAACTTGGTTAGACAAGAAAAGTATACTTAGGAATGTAAGTATATTATAGGGGGAGCTATTGATATGCTGAGCTATACTTTGGCAATAGAATTAGAGGAATTTCAAATAAGTGCCATAAAAAATGGCAGGCACCAAAAAACTGTAATTGAGAGGTATATAATAAATCAAAAAATAAAAAGTTTGGAACTGGGAAGAAAGTGGTTATTAGGATGTTGAAAAGGCATTGCAGCTTTATGAATGTAGTGGCATTGTGTGTTGCATAGGCTTACTGTTATAGAAGAGAAGGTAATACAAGGGAACTAAATTATAGAAATGGGGTGAAAATGATAGTGAGGAAGTTGTAATATGAAGTTCCTTCAATGAGAATACTGTATAATAAAGGAAGGTTTATTTGGTAAAGGCAAGAACTTAAGTGATAACTGTAGAACAAGAAGCAAATAACAGTCCCTTGCTCTTTTTTTTTTTATGAAATGCTGAAAATAAAGTTTTGGTGAGAAATAAATTCAGGAAACCAATAAGCTAAATTTGAATTTCAAGGGCTGCAAGGTATTGCTGTTTAGTAGGCCAGCATGGGTTGATGTAGATCCTTTTGGAAAGGCAGTTAAAGGCCAAGTGAGGTGATTGCTTTTAACATTTTTAAAACATCAGCCATTTCCCACTAAGTCAGGGTTACATAAAAAAAAATCATGGTTATTCTCTCTCCAGCTGTCTTTACAGAAGAGCATGGAACTCAGAATTCAAATAAAGCAATTACAACATTCCCAAAGATTATTCAAATTGCAGGCGCTTCTTTCCACCTTGTAAACTTTAATATGAGAACCAGTTCTTTTCAGTCTTTCTTAGTATTACCTCATACTTAATTATTAGAGTTGAGGCTTATTTATTATTTAGCACATGTTTGTTAGATTAGGCAAGGAATTATGTATTTAAAAAGTATATGAAGATTTCCGGATCTTTAATACTAATGGTTCTTTTTTTTTTTTATACTTAACCAGTCTCCCCCCAACCAGGACTACTGTGAGGTGTGCCAGCAGGGAGGGGAAATAATCCTATGTGACACTTGCCCAAAGGCATACCATCTAGTTTGCCTAGAGCCAGAGCTGGAAGAGGCTCCTGAGGGCAAGTGGTCATGCCCTACCTGTGAAGCTGAGGGGGTGAAGGAAGAAGATGAGCATATGGAATATTGCAAGGTTTGCAAGGTCAGTAAACATCAGGTCAGTTTCTTCTGGCGGCATTTATTGTTCCATTTGTAATGGCTTGAATATGCTGATTTTATATGCTGCTTGATTTGCAAAAACATTTGTGATATTGGTTATTTGTAACAGTATTGCATGATTTTAAATATCTTTGGTTTTGTAACTGAGCATAATTTTTATGTAATAAGGAGAAATATGCAGTTTTACTAATACACGGAGTTTCTTAAAGGATGGAGGGGAGCTGCTTTGCTGCGATTCATGTGTTAATGCCTATCATACATACTGCTTGTCACCACCGTTATATCAAGTCCCAGAAGGAGAGTGGACATGTCAGCGGTGTGCTTGTGAACCCCTTCCAGGACGAGTGCAGAAGATTCTTTTCTGGAGGTTTGTATTCTTGGAATTCAGCTATAATTGAGGCAAAGCCTCTTACCTATATCTACAACAGTTATTAACCCTTTGAGGGTCGAGAGGCCCTCCCTCAAATTCGTTCTCAGGGTTGAAAAAGTTTTGAAAAAATTTATTTTTCTTATGAAATGATAGAGAATCTTTTTCTGATCATCATGACACCAAAAGTATGAAATTGGATGGAAAGCTTATGGAATTATGCTCTAGTGAAGTTAGTGGTCTCGACGATATTTACGCATTGGAAATTTCACCCACTTTGAGCCCTATTTTTGGTCAATTCCAATGTTTCAGTTGACTAAAATCATAGCTATTTTGCTAGAACTCCATTTATTCTATCACCTGAGTACAAGAAGCCTCCCATTTACCGATTTTGGCTACTCAATAAAGTGGTCAGAAATTGGCAATTTGGCCAATTTCATACAATTTTCAGAATATGCCAATTTCAAAATAGGGTCCATAATAAACAAGACAGACATTCCTGGCATAAATAATAAACAAGACACATTCTGTTCATTAGTCACGTCTCCAGGCCCCTTTTACATTACTTTTGCTTTAAATTTTGAATTTTTATTCTCACAAAAAATAGAAAATTTACTGTTATGCAGACTACTGCATCATTGTAAAAATGATATAAATAATATCAGCACTTGTGAAAGAATATTAGACTCGCCAGTTGACTTGTATTGGATGAATGGCGTGATTTGTTCATGTACAGTCATCACACTGCAAGTCATGTACAGTCATCACACAGCTAGTCATGTAGTCATCACACTGCTAGTCATGTACTCTTGAACATTGTAAAAATTGAACATTTTTTCTACTTGGACCTCAATTTCAAGATACATACTTGTCATTGTGAAACCAATCAAAATCATCTCTATTTCTGTATTTTTTTTTTTTTTATCACACTGGCCGATTCCCACCAATGCAGGGTGGCCCAAAAAGAAAAACTTTCACCATCATTCACTCCATCACTGTCTTGCCAGAAGGGTGCTTTACACTACAGTTTTTAAACTGCAACATTAACACCCCTCCTTCAGAGTGCAGGCACTGTACTTCCCATCTCCAGGACTCAAGTCCGGCCTGCCGGTTTCCCTGAACCCCTTCATAAATGTTGCTTTGCTCACACTCCAACAGCACGTCAAGTATTAAAAACCATTTGTCTCCATTCACTCCTATCAAACACGCTCACGCATGCCTGCTGGAAGTCCAAGCCCCTCGCACACAAAACCTCCTTTACCCCGTCCCTCCAACCTTTCCTAGGCCGACCCCTACCCCGCCTTCCTTCCACTACAGACTGATACACCCTTGAAGTTATTCTGTTTCGCTCCATTCTCTCCACATGTCCGAACCACCTCAACAACCCTTCCTCAGCCCTCTGGACAACAGTTTTGGTAATCTCGCACCTCCTCCTAACTTCCAAACTACGAATTCTCTGCATTATATTCACACCACACATTGCTCTCAGACATGACATCTCCACTGCCTCCAGCCTTCTCCTCGCTGCAACATTCATCACCCATGCTTCACACCCATATAAGAGCGTTGGTAAAACTATACTCTCATACATTCCCCTCTTTGCCTCCAAGGACAAAGTTCTTTGTCTCCACAGACTCCTAAGTGCACCACTCATCCTTTTCCCCTCATCAATTCTATGATTTACCTCATCTTTCATAGACCCATCCACTGACACGTCCACTCCCAAATATCTGAATACATTCACCTCCTCCATACTCTCTCCCTCCAATCTGATATCCAATCTTTCATCACCTAACCTTTTTGTTATCCTCATAACCTTACTCTTTCCTGTATTCACTTTTAATTTTCTTCTTTTGCACACCCTACCAAATTTATCCACCAATCTCTGCAACTTCTCTTCAGAATCTCCCAAGAGCACAGTGTCATCAGCAAAGAGCAACTGTGACAACTCCCACTTTGTGTGATTCTTTATCTTTTAACTCCACGCCTCTTGCCAAGACCCTCTCATTTACTTCTCTTACAACCCCATCTATAAATATATTAAACAACCACGGTGACATCACACATCCTTGTCTAAGGCCTACTTTTACTGGGAAATAATTTCCCTCTTTCCTACATACTTTAACTTGAGCCTCACTTTCCTCGTAAAAACTCTTAACTGCTTTCAGTAACCTACCTCCTACACCATACACCTGCAACATCTGCCACATTGCCCCCCTATCCACCCTGTCATATGCCTTTTCCAAATCCATAAATGCCACAAAGACCTCTTTAGCCTTATCTAAATACTGTTCACTTATATGTTCACTGTAAACACCTGGTCCACACACCCCCTACCTTTTCCTAAAGCCTCCTTGTTCATCTGCTATCCTATTCTCCATCTTACTCTTAATTCTTTCAATAATAACTCTACCATACACTTTGCCAGGTATACTCAACAGACTTATCCCCCTATAATTTTTGCACTCTCTTTTATCCCCTTTGCCTTTATACAAAGGAACTATGCATGCTCTCTGCCAATCCCTAAACGAGACCATAAGCAACCATAAATACCTTATGAAAATACACTGGAAAGTCGCTGTTTTAAACCAAAAACACGGTCAGAGTTTCTCTTTTTCTCATTATGTACTGTGTGCTTCAGGATTTTTTTTTTATACTGTGCATGCTGACCACGCAGACCCATTCTTTCATATGTAGGCCTGCCAGCTTTCTGCCACCAGATTTGAAGGTGCTAGAATTTACATGTATAAGTACGTGGGGCAGAAGTTTTTGGTTATAGGAGGGCGGGTGCAGGAGGAAAGAGGAATGATTGGTGGAATGATGAAGTAAAGGGTATGATAAAAGAGAAAAAGATAGCTTATGAGAGGTTTTACAAAGCAGAAGTGTTATAAGAAGAGCAGAGTATATGGAGAGTAAAAGAAAGGTGAAGAGAGTGGTGAGAGTGCTGAAGGAGAGCAGATAGAGTGGGAGAAGGACTGTCAAGAAATTTTGCAGAAAATAAGAAAAAATTTTGGAGTGAGATAAACAAGTTAAGAAAACCTAGGGAATGAATGGATTTGTCAGTTAAAAACAGAGTAGGTGAGTTAGTAGATGGGGAGCTGGAGGTATTGGGTAGATGGCAGGAATATTTTGAGGAACTTTTAAATGTCGATGAAGAAAGGGAGGCGGTAATTTCATGAACTAGCCAGGGAGGTATAAAAATTTTTAGGAGTGAAGAAGAGCAGGATGTGAGTATGGGGGAGGTGCGTGAGGCATTACGTAGAATGAAAGGGGGTAAAGCAGGTGGAACTGATGGGATCATGACAAAAATGTTAACAGCAGGGGATGATAGTGTTGGAGTGGTTGGTATTTTTGTTTAATAAATGTATGAAAGAGGGAAGGTTCCTAGGGATTGGCAGAGAGCTTGTATAGTTCCTTTACATAAAGGGAAGGGGGAGACGGCCGACTTGTTAACCCTTAAATTGTCCAAACGTAGATCTACGTTTTTTTAACATTTGAAAGTATGTAAAAATTGTAGATCATCATTTTTTTTTACATTTGAAAACGTGTAAAAAAAACTTTTATCTACATTTTTTTTTTGTTATTGAAAATATGTAAAAAAAAACGTAGATCTACTTTTGGAGCACTATGGATTTGAACGTCAATCTGTTTGGACAGTTTAAGGGTTAAAAAAAAAAAAAGTTTATTAAGTCCTAGGTAGTACGTTGGTAGACAGCAACTGCCCAGAGAGGTACTACCGTCCTGCCAAGTGAGTGTAAAACGAAAGCCTGTAATTGTTTTACATGATGGTAGGATTGCTGGTGTTCTTTTTTCTGTCTCATGAACATGCAAAATTTCAGGTACGTCTTGCTACTTCTACTTACACTTAGGTCACACTACACATATATATACAAGCATATGTATACACACACACATCTGGGTTTTCTTCTATTTTCTTTCTAGTTTTTATTCTTGTTTATCTCCTCTTATCTCCATGGGGAAGTGGAACAGAATTCTTCCTCTGTAAGCCATGCGTGTTGTAAGAGGTAACTAAAATGCCGGGAGCAAGGGGCTAGTAACCCCTTCTCCAGTATAGATTACTAAATTTAAAAAAACTTGTTTTTCTTTTTGGGCCACCCTGCCTCGGTGGGATACGGCCCGTTTGTTGAAAAAAAAAAAGTTTATTAAGTATACCAGGAAAAGTGTATGGTAGGATTATTATTGAGAGAATTAGAGGTAAGACAGAATAGGATTGCAGATGAGCAAGGAGGCTTTAGTGTGGGTAGGGGATGTGTAGATCAAGTGTTCACATTGAAGCATATATGTGAAAAGTATTTAGATAAAGGTAAGGAAGTTTTCATTGCATTTATGGATTTAGAAAAGGCATAGGATAGAGTGCATAGGGGAGCAATGTGGGAGATGTTGCAGGTGTATTGAATAGGTAGTAAGTTACTAAATGCTGTAAAAAGTTTTTATGAGGATAGTGAGGGTCAGGTTAGTGTGTGTAGAAGAGAGGGAGATTACTTTCCGGTAAAAGTAGGTTTTAGACAGGAATGTGTAATGTCACCATGGTTGTTTAATACATTTATAGATGGAGTTGTCAAGGAAGTAAATGCTAGGGTGTTGGGGAGAGGGGTGGGATTAAATTATGGGGAATCAAGTACAAAATGGGAGTTAACAGTTACTTTTTGCTGATGATTCTGTGCTTATGGGAGATTCTAAAGAAAAGTTGCAAAGGTTAGTGGATGAGTTTGGGAGTGTGTGTAAAGGTAGAAAGTTGAAAGTGAACATAGATAAGGATAAGGTGATGAGGGTATCAAACGATTTAGATAAAAATTGGATATCACATCGGAGAGGGAGTATGGAAGAAGTGAATGTTTTCAGATATTTGGGAGTTGATGTGTCAGCAGATGGGTTAATGAGGGATGAGATTAACCATAGAATTGATGAAGGAAGAAAGGTGAGTGGTGCATTGAGGTATATGTGGAGACAAAAATTTTTATCTTTGGAGGCAAAGAAGGGAATGTATGAAAGTATAATGGTACCAACACTCTTATGGGTGTGAAGCTTGCGTTGTAAATGCTGCAGTGAGGAGGCAGTTGGAGGCAGTGGTGATGTCCTAAGGGCAATGTGTGGTGTACATATTATGCAGAGAATTTGGAGTGTGGAAATTAGGAGGTGTGGAGTTAATAAAAGTATTAGTGAGAGGGCTGAAGAGGGGTTGTTGAGGTGGTTTGGTCATTTAGAGAGAATGGATCAAAGTAGAATGACATGGAGAGCGTATAAATCTGTAGGGGTAGGAAGGCGGGGTAGGGGTCGTCCTCGAAAAGGTTGGAGGGAGGGGGTAAAGGAGGTTTTGTGGGCGAGCGGCTTTGACTTCCAGCAAGCATGCGTGAGCGTGTTAGATAGGAGTGAATGGAGACGAATGGTTTTTGGGACCTGACAAGCTGTTTGGAGTGTGAGCAGGGTAACATTTAGTGAAGGGATTCAGGGAAACCGGTTATTTTTTATAGCTGGACTTGAGTCCTGGAAATGGGAAGTACAATGCCTGCACTTTAAAGGAGGGGTTTGGGATATTGGCAGTTTGGAGGGATATGTTATATATCTATATATGCTTCTGAACTGTTGTATCTGGGTGCCTCTGCAAAGACAGTGATTATGTATGAGTGAGGTGAATGTGTTGAATGATGTTAAAAGTATTTTCTTTTTGGGGATTTTCTTTCTTTTTGGGTCACCCTGCCTCGGTGGGAGACGGCTGACTTGTTGAAAAAAAAAAAAAGTACTTGACTGAACCTGGCTGCAATGACGTACATGTATGTGACTGACCCTCAAAGGGTAAAGATTGCTTGAGGTGCAATATTGCATTATCTCCCTGCCTGAGTATTTTTTGATCAATTGAAGATGGATTTCCTCCATTCTGTTTTAGGCAGGTAGCAATAGGCAGTGAGGCTAATCATCACTGTAGATTTAGTTGGAAAGGCAGTTAAGTAAACTTACATTGGGAGGGTAATCTTCAGGTTGATTAACTCTTTCGTTGTCAGCCCTTTGTATCAAGGCTTTGAAGCCAATGTTCGTCCTGTAGTATCATGCCATGAGCTCACCTCACTCAGAAAAGCTGTGAGCTGTAAATTTGGGCCTAGATGTGAGAGAATGGGCCTATGCAGTAAGTGTGCACCATATAAAAAAAAATCCTGCAACAGTGTATATAATGAGAAAAAACTGCAACCGTGTTTTTGGTTTGAAACAGTGACTTCGCAGTGCATTTTTATATAGTTTTTATAGTTGTATTCTCAGTTTCTTGGTCATATTGATAGAATGGAAGATATATTTCAGAAATAGAGGTGATTTTGATTAGTTTCAGGAGTGAAAGTACTTTGAAATTCAGCTCAAAATAGCAGAAATGTTTGATTTCTGTTGATATTCCAGAGTACACAAATGGTGTCAGTCTAATATGCATTTAGGAATGCACTGACATTATTTATACAATTATTACAATAAAGCAGTAGTCTACATAACAATAAATCTTCTATTTTTTGTCTACCTTCCGGGAGGGTATTATGAGGATCAACGCCCCCGTAGCCCGGTCCATTACCAGGCTCCCAGTGACTCGGCCTGATCAGCTACTCTGTTTCTGTGTGAATAAAAATTCAAAATGAAAAGCAAGTGTAATATAAGAGGGGCATGGAGATGTGACTAAGGAACAGAGGAAATGTTTATTGGTGCTTACCAGGAATGTCTACCTTATTTATTTTGGACCATATTTTCAAATTGATAATTGTTGAATTTTGTACGAAATTGGCCAAATTACCAATTTCTGATTACTATTGGGTAGTTGAAATATGAAATGGAATACAAAGAATATTAGTAAAATAGCTGAGTTTGGTAGTGGTCAAAAATAGAGCACAAAGTGGGCGAAATCACCAATGCGTAAATATCGCCAAGACTGCTAACTATGCGAGAGCATAATTCCATAACTTTACCATCAAGTTTCGTACTTTTGGTTTCATTACCTTCAGAATCAGATTCTCTTACCATTTCATGAGAAAAAATATATATATTTTTAAATTCTTTGACACTGAGAGCCAGTTTGCAAGCAGGGGTCTTGACAGTGAAAGGGTTGTGCAAGTGTTCAGGATAGCACTTGGGGAGGAGTAGGCAATTGTTCAAGTGATAAAAAAAATAAATAAAAAATTCTTTATGGTTTATTATATTAAACTATCATAGGGAAGGCACCCAGAATGGAATCATTTACTTTTCTAAAATGATTTCTGTCTGATTTTTTTTTTCTTTAATTCATAAGCTACCTTTTTGAAATGATAACCATGCAGAATTTTCCTTATTTTTGAGTACTTGACTTCAAAGCTGCCACTTGTAAATGGAAAGAATGCTGCAAGAAGACCTTGGTGACAAAAGTGTTGAGTGATGGTGAAAGTGTTTTTTTCTTTAGGGTCACCCTGCCTCAGTGGGAGATGGCTGACGTATTAAAAAAAATAGCATTTGATTGTAGCTTTAAGATGGCACAAATGTATTTTTTTATGAAATATTCTGTTTTTCATGTAAGCATTTTTTTAATAGATTTGTGGACCCACCAAAACCTCCAGAAAACTGGAAAGAAATTGTTGGTGATAAAGCTGATAAATTCCAGTTCAAGCAGCTACGAGAATTCTTGGTTAAATGGGTGGATATGTCCTATTGGCACTGTTCATGGATCTCAGAGCTAATGTTGGATGTTTATCATCCTCAGGTTAGTTGTAAAGAATTGTTATTTTCTTCTTAGGTTAAAACTTTTATATTGACCTAATTTCCGGCCATAAAAGGAAGTGTTTGATATGTATGCCCTGAATTATGTGCCCCTTCCAGTCTTAAAATTGCAAGCTTTCAAAAAAAAAAAAAATGTAATGAAGTACATAAGAATGGATAAACATTGCAGTAAGTTTACTGGCCCATGCCCAGTAAACTGACTGGGCATGGACCAGTCAACTACAGAAGTGGCAAATATGTAGACAGCACAACAGTGGAGAGGTAAATATGATGTGATCAGTCCATCAACCTTTAAGTAGTTTGAGGTGGTCAGACCCTCAGTCTGGAGATGTGATTTCCTCAAACTACTACTATAAGGTTGGTGGACTGATCCCATCACCTTTCCCTCTCCTTTTACTTTTGCTGTCTTCATATTTGCCACCTTGATTGATGAAGTCAACTGTAGGTGAAATACTTTGAATTGAAGATACTTAACTGTTATACATGTGTCTTATCACCTTGTTGGTATTGTGTACCATTATTATATTCACATTTAGAAAGTGGTTCAGCAATAGTTGTTGAGTAGATAGTCTGACAAGTAGGGTCATTGAAGCTAAAATCTTCAATAGTCTGACAAGTAGGGTCATTGAAGCTAAAATCAAATAAGTTTGACTATTGTGAGTGAGAAGGATTGAATTTGAGTTAAGACCTGCCTAGCATTAGTTGATGAGGTTTTAGAAGTTAATTTCTTCAGTGGCTTTGGGAATGGGGTTGGACAGGTATGTGGGTGAGATGATCTGGATTTGAGAGGGCTCTGCCATATGTAGGCCAGTAGACTTACTGCAGTGTTCCTCTGCTTTTTGTGTTCTTGAGAGTTACTATAGGAGTTGCAACGCTAATAAAGAAATGTGTGATGTAGAGTGTCTCCGAACGAATCCTTTCATTTTGTAATGGGTCTGTTTTCTATGCCAGTAATTAATCTATCACATAAAGCAAGTGAGAACGTTTTATATTGACAAATTACAATTGCTATACAGTTTTCATCCGGGTTTACCAATATATATTTCCTAATTAAAGTCTTTGATTTAAAAAATGAATAAAGTATGGTATACAGTATAGCATGTTATGTTTTTTTAACCATATTGGTTATCTCCCACCAAGGAAACATCCACCATCATTTATATTTATATATATTTTAAAACATGAGCACTTTAAAGTGTGGATAACATTGTTCTTCAGATGTTGAGATCATATTTCAAGAAATTTGACCCAGATGAACCACCTATTCCTGGTATAGATGATGATGATGAGTTAGGTTCCCAGAGACGGCACAAGAAAGAGCCTGATCCCAACTCTCTTGAGGAGAGGTAAGTTTTAGTTTTATCTGCAAATTTTTGCTTTACAGTCCTTTGCTGCATTTTGTTGTTTCATGTATATATTTATATGAATTAGAGAATGTTTCCATAACTGTTGTCATTTTTCATTTACTGCTTCTCATTTATAAGTAAAATTAATTAGAAAAATTTTAATTGATGTGCAAACAAGATAGCATTGGACTAGACTAGGCTATTCTAAATAACTGATTGAGGGGAGTGTAGGAGGAAGAGGCTGCTTCCACTCTGATATGAATTTCATATGTATTCTTGTTATAATTTGGTTTTCTTATTGATTATGCAGTACAGTCGAACCTCTACTTGCGAGTTTAATCCGTTCCACGACCTTGCTCGCAACTGGATTTGCTCGTTTGCAGAGTCAATTTTCCTCATTTAAATTAATTGAAATGCAATTAATCCGTTTCAGTGGAATTCTGTGTTTCAATAATTTCGCTAATATCAACTCTAAGGTTTATTTATCTATCTCACTTCATCTAGTATGACATAATCAACAATATTAATAACAGAAACCTGATTATATATACTCTAAAATGAATAAAATATGTAATTCATGTAGTGGTATGGGCGGTGTCGGTGGTGGACGAGAGTTTGTCTGGAGACCGGACAAAATACTTCTTGAATAATTTCGCTAATGTTATCTATGCGGCTTATTTATCTATCACAGTTCATCTAATATGACATGATAAACAATATAAATAACATAGAAACCTCATATATACTTTAGAATGAATAAAATATGTCATTATATATGTGGCAGAGGCGGCGGCGGCCCACGAGAGTTTGCCTGCAGATAGGTCAAAATACCCCTTGAATATTTCACTATCATCAACTCTACAGCTTGCTTATCTATCACAGTTCATCTAATATGAAATAATAAACAATATAAATAACACAGAAACCTGATATATACTCTAGAATGAATAAAATATGCCATTATGTAACAGGTGGAGGCTGCCACAACTGTTCTTTCTATGTTGTTGTAAACACTGCCATCTAGTGACGGCCTTTTGAAGTCGTCTTTTATTATAATTATTATTATGTAGTACATTATTATTATATATGTATTATTATTTTTTTTTTTTTTTTCAATAAGTCGGTCGTCTCCCACCGAGGCAGGGTGACCCAAAAAAAAGAAAGAAAATCCACAAAAAGAAAATACTTTCATCATCATTCAACACTTTCACCACACTCACACATTATCACTGCTTTTGCAGAGGTGCTCAGGATACAACAGTTTAGAAGCATATACGTATAAAGATACACAACATATCCCTCCAAACTGCCAATATCCCAAACCCCTCCTTTAAAGTGCAGGCATTGTACTTCCCATTTCCAGGACTCAAGTCCGACTATATGAAAATAACCGGTTTCCTGAATCCCTTCACTAAATTATTACCCTGCTCACACTCCAACAGATCGTCAGGTCCCAAGTATCATTCGTCTCCATTCACTCCTATCTAACACGCTCATGCACGCTTGCTGGAAGTCCAAGCCCCTCGCCCACAAAACCTCCTTTACCCCCTCTTTCCAACCCTTTCGAGGACGACCCCTACCCCTCTTTCCTTCCCCTATAGATTTATATGCTTTCCATGTCATTCTACTTTGATCCATTCTCTCTAAATGACCAAACCACCTCAACAACCCCTCTTCTGCCCTCTTACTAATGCTTTTATTAACTCCACACCTTCTCCTAATATTATACATATTATATTATTATTCTTATTGTATCATATTATAATACGTACTATTATTATTATACATATATATATTATTATTATTTTTTTTTTTCAACAAGTTGGCCGTCTCCCACCGAGGCAGGGTGACCCCCAAAAAAAAAAAAAAAAAATCCCCAAAAAGAAAATAATTTCATCATCATTCAACACTTTCACCTTACTCACACATAATCACTGCTTTTTGCAGAGGTGCTCAGAACACAACAGTTTAGAAGCATATACGTATAAAGATACACAACATATCCCTCCAAACTGCTAATATCCTCGAAACCCCTCCTCTAGAGTGCAGGCATTGTACTTTCCATTTCCAGGACTCAAGTCCGGCTATATAAAAATAACCGGTTTCCCTGAATCCCTTCACTAAATATTACCCTGCTCGCACTCCAACAGATCGTCAGGTCCCAAATACCATTCGTCTCCATTCACTATCATGCACGCCTGCTGGAAGTCCAAGACCCTCGCCCATAAAACCTCCCTTACCCCTTCCTTCCAACCTTTTCGAAGACGACCCCTACCCCATCTTCCTTCTCCTACCGATTTAAATGCTCTCCATGTCATTCTACTTTGATCCATTCTCTCTAAATGACCAAACCACCTCAACAACCCCTCTTCAGCCCTCTCACTAATACTTTTATTAACTCCACACCTTCTCCTAATTTCCACACTCCGAATTTTCTGCATAATATTTACACACACACATTGCCCTATAGACAGGACATCTCCACTGCCTCCAACCGTCTCCTCGCTGCTGCATTCACAACCCAAGCTTCACATCCATATAAGAGTGTTGGTACTACTATACTTTCATACATTCCCTTCTTTGCCTCCATAGATAACGTTTTTTGACTCCACATATACCTCAACGCACCACTCACATTTTTTCCCTCATCAATTCTATGATTAACCTCATCCTTCATAAATCCATCCGCCGACACGTCAACTCCCAAGTATCTGAAAACATTCACTTCTTCCATACTCCTCCTTCCCAATTTGATATACAATTTTTCTTTATCTAAATCATTTGATACCCTCATCATCTTACTCTAAATCATTTGATACCCTCATCACCTTACTAAATCATTTGATACCCTCATCACCTTACTCTTTACACACACTCCCAAACTCATCCACTAACCTTTGCAATTTTTCTTTAGAATCTCCCATAAGCACAGTATCATCAGCAAAAAGTAACTGTGTCAATTCCCATTTTGTATTTGATTCCCCATAATTTAATCCCACCCCTCTCCCGAACACCCTAGCATTTACTTCTTTTACAACCCCATCTATAAATATATTAAACAACCATGGTGACATTACATATCCCTGTCTAAGACCTACTTTTACTGGAAAGTAGTCTCCCTCTCTTCTACACACCCTAACCTGAGCCTCACTATCCTCATAAAAACTCTTTACAGCATTTAATAACTTACCACCTATTCCATATACTTGCAACATCTGCCACATTGCTCCCCTATCCACTCTATCATATGCCTTTTCTAAATCCATAAATGCAATAAAAACTTCCCTACCCTTATCTAAATACTGTTCCTATATATGCTTCAATGTAAACACTTGATCTACACATCCCCTACCCACTCTGAAACTTCCTTGCTCATCCGCAATCCTACATTCTGTCTTACCTCTAATTGTTTCAGTTATAACCCTACCGTACACTTTTCCTGGTATACTCGGTAAACTTATTCCTCTATAATTTTTACAATCTCTTTTGTCCCTCTTCCCTTTATATAAAGGGACTAAACATGCTCTCCCCCAATCCCTAGGTACCTTCCCCTCTTTCAAACATTATATTAAACAAAAGTACCAACCACTCCAACACTATATCCCCCCCTGCTTTTAACATTTCTGTCATGATCCTATCAGTTCCAGCTGCTTTACCTCCTTTCATTCTACGTAATGCCTCGTGTACCTCCCCCACACTTACATTCTGCTCTTCACTCCTAAAAGATGGTATACCTCCCTGGCCAGTGCATGAAATTATTATTATTATTATTATTATTATTATTATTATTATCATTATTATTATTATTATTACAAAATAAATAATTTGATTTACTCTTATGCTTTATTGCAATAATTGTATAAATAATGTCAACCCATTCATGACTGCATATTGGAATGGACAGTGACTCATTTGTTTACTTTTGTACATACCAAAAACAATCGAACATTTCTCCTGTGTTGAGCTTAATTTCAAGGTACTTTTCGTCATGAAAGCAATCAAAATCATATCTATTTCTGTAATATATCTTCCATTCTATCAAATGAGACCAAGAAAACGAGAATACAACCATAAAAACCATACAAAAATACCGCTAAGGGGTGGCTAATTGCCGAGAAGTGAACTCCATTATTTATGCTTAGATTTCTTTCATTTTTGGTGTATGTTAAGAAGCATCTTTCCATCATACATTGCCCAAGTTTCAATAAGATAGTCCAACAAACAAATGAGATACAATTCCCTAGATCAAGTGCAAGAGCCCCTCACCTGCGTCAAGGAACCTGCCTTGAGGTCTGCTCGCTTATGGAAATTTTGCTCGCGTATGGAAACAAAAAATCGAGCCATCGACTGCTTGTATTTGGAAAAACTCGCATGTAGATGCACTCGCAAGTAGAGGTTCCACTGTACTTGCATTCCACCTTCCTCTTATTTTACCTGCAGTATCTATAAATTATGATTGACACTTGAGTTGTTTCTCTTAAATATGTACATGCAGGGTGTGAATTTGAATTATCTGGTATTTATAGTCATAAGTATACTTTTTACCTTTTAGAAAGATGCGTAAGTAAATATAAATAAATAAATGCAGTGCAGTATACTGCCTACACTCAAGAGGGGTGGAGATATTGCACTTTGGAGGGAAATCTGAGTTGTGATGTCAGTGCGCCTCTGTCAAGATGGTGTAGTGAGTGATGGTGAAAGAGTTCTTTTTGGGTGTTGCCTAGGAGTGAGTGTAGATGTGTAAAAAAGGTCAGTGTGTTTGTGCACTCTGAAGGAGGGGTGAACATGAGGGTCATCTAAATGGCCAGTACACTTCTGGTTAGACAGCAGTGATTGAATGAATGATAGTGAAAGTTTTCCACCCAGTCCTGGTGGGAGATGGCTGATGAGGTAAAAAAAAAAAAAGTGCACTCAAAGTGTAATTGTGTTTATCTTCTATTTAATGAAATTGTTAGGTTACTGGTTTTCATTATTAAAATAATTAACACTAGAAGTTTTGAATGAAATTTGTGAAAGTAATGTATTATATTTGTTCATTTATGGTACTTGTAGCTCAGCATTTGAGACACATTTTGATTGATTTCAGTAATGACTCTTAAATTTCCCAAAATGACAATGCAACTTAGAGGTGTGTGTTTATAAAAATAATTGTACTGAATATATGCCTACAGATTTATGATCATGAAGGTTGAGAATGTTGGTATAATATTTCTTTCCAGATACTACAAATATGGTATAAAATCTACCTGGCTGAAGATTCACAGAGTCTTGAACCACCGTACATTGCGAGATGGTACGACCCAATACCTAGTTAAATGGCGGGACTTGCCCTACGACCAGGCTACTTGGGAGGATGAAGATGAAGAAATTGTTGGCTTAAAGACTGCTATAGAGTTCTACCATGACCTGCGAGCTGCGTGTAATGCTGATGCCGGTAGTAAGTTATTTGTTTGGTAAAATTTATTGCAGTATAGGCCTATCCATTAAAAATGTTAGGATGCAAACAATTAGATAAAAATTTTGCCATCTTGGGCATGGAGAGAGGAAAGCCAGAAATACTTTTTTCAAGAACCAAGGTGCAAGAATTTATTAGGCCAAAGAAAAATGTTTCAGGTAACATGTACTGTAAAACAGAAAATGTAGGTAAGGATTTGTTTTATTATTTTTTTTGTAGGGTGAATTATACTGTATGTGGATTCGAATATTATGTTGGTTTCAACACAGCATTGTCCGAGATTATCGCTTCACAATAATCATAAAATTATAAAAAAATATGTAAGTAATAAAAATAAGGTTCAGTACCCTTTGGTTTTTCTGCATGGGAGTAACATTTCTGATTTAGATTTATTTATAGATATCAGGAGGTCAAATGCATCTTTTGTTAATGCATTTCTCAAATGGTAGAACTATGCACAGTGATTATTACGTTTCACTCAGGAAAGCATGATATTTTGGGAAATTTTGCATCCAAAAATGGTCATTCCATACATATCAGTTTCATATGTACTAAAGGACTACATTCCTTTAGTGCATGTGAAATTTTCCATGTCAACTGTTCACATGCACATCTTTAATATCAACATAAGTCATTTCCATTTCCATGGGGAAGTGGACCAGAATTCTTCCTCTGTAAGCCATGCATGTTGTAAGAGGCGACTAAAATGTCAGGAGCAAGGGACTAGTAACCTCTTCTCCTGTATATATTACGAAAGTTAAAAAGAGGAACTTTTGTTTTTCTTTTTGAGCCACCCTTCCACGGTGGGATATGGCCAGTTTGTTGGATGATGATGATGTCATTTCCACTCATGATTAGAAATTTTCCAGTTGCTTTGAATGTTAAGTCTTTGCAGAGTTTATCAATCAAATAAGTGATGTGGCATACATGGCCACCATTGATAATGAGAAGTGATTGACTGGGGATTTATAAAAGTAGCCATCTCATTGGCTTATACTGGATGGCTTTCTAGAAATAAATTTCCATAGATTAGCCAATAAGACAAGCTGACATTTGTATGGAGGTCTACTGGGGCCATATCTAGATCAATGGTTCTTAACCTATTTTGGGTGGCGCTCTCTGTTGGAGTTGGTCCCCATTTCCAACCCCCCCCCTCCTTCCTTCGTATAAAATTATAAATGTAAAATTTAAGAAAAGCCTCTTTATTTAAATAGGAAAATAGAAGGAGAAAATTGCAAATGCACATGTTTGTTAATTTTATTCAGGGTTTGCACACTTTCTGGGAATTACTCATGCCCCCCCATCCCCCAGTTAAGAATTACTTATCTAGATTGGCCCAAAGAATTTTTTTATTTAATTAAAAAATATTGCTCATTGAGCATGTGACAGTCAGATTTTAGGGCCCGTTTTATTTGGCCAGATAGGATTGGGTAACCATAAATACTTTTTTTTTTTTTTTTTCTAGAAACTATTGAAATATTATGACAACAGTAGTGTTTTAGCTTGTTAATATTGAGGAAGAGGTTTGGAATTCAAATTGTCAGTGTTATAGTCAATATTTTTATTTAACCAGACAAAAACAAGAAAGGTAAAAAGAAAGGAAAGTCTCGTGCCAGGGAGTTAGGCGATGAGGACCGGGAACCTTCTTCACCTCGGCGCTACACTCCTCCACCTGACAAGCCCATTACTAACTTAAACAAAAAGTATGAAAAGCAACCAGATTTTATTGATGGCACTGGACTTTCCCTCCATGAATACCAGTTAGAAGGTGTCAATTGGTTGAGGTAAGAAAGCTAAAGACAGGTTTTGTTTTATGCAGTTTGTCACATTTTTAATTATGAGCAGAGTTGCTCTTTATGATGCTCATCAAGTATGCTATACTACCTAGTGATCATTCTTTTATCCTTGTCAAAAATTAATAAAAAAAAAAATTTCTCTTGATTTTGTTAGGAAATTTTTGGTAGTGTTTTAAGAATTGTATTTGGTCAAAATGATCTTTCAAGACATAGTCACTGAGTCAGCTTAAATTTTCACGTGAAGCAATTTTTGTTACTTTTATTATCCCTGAATAATTAATGCAAAAAAATTTTGTTGAAACCATTTTCTTTTGTAACCACTTATTTCCTGCATCTGCTAACCTTTTGAGTCCCTGTTCGTGTAAACCATTCATTAATATGATACCAGAGTACCCTTTTCAACTTTCACATTGCATTGCTGCTTGTAGACATTAATTCATTTCTCTTTTCAGCAAATATCTCAGTCCATGTAACATTCATGAATCTTCATTAACCCTATAGTACCATAATTTTTGAAATATTTATTTAAATATTCATTTCAGATACTCGTGGGGTCAAGGAACGGATACTATTTTGGCTGATGAGATGGGTCTTGGAAAAACTATTCAAACAATTGCTTTTCTTTATTCACTGTATAAAGAAGGCCATTCTAAGGGACCATTCCTTGTGGCTGTCCCCTTGTCTACTATTATTAACTGGGAACGTGAATTTGAAATGTGGGCTCCTGACTTTTACGTAGTAACTTATGTGGGTGACCGGGACTCACGAACAATGATCCGTGAGCATGAATTGTCTTTCGAAGAAGGGGCTGTCCGCAGTGCTTCAAAAGCAACTCGAATTCGCACAACCAATGTGAAGTTTAATGTGTTGTTAACATCATATGAAATGATATCAATGGACCAGGCTTGCTTGGGCTCCTTGGAATGGGCATGTTTAGTTGTAGATGAAGCTCATAGACTGAAGAGTAATCAATCAAAGGTGAGCCAGCATTAGGTTACCTTTTAATATGTAGAGTTATTTAAGTGACCTGTTTTATTTAGTCCCTTTGAAATTTGCTGTATAATTTTTCTGATCATTTACAGAACACTGAAATTCACATTGTTTTACAGATAATTGCAAAGTTAATATTTACAAGGATTGCATTATAAAATAAAATCTGTTATTAAAACTAGCAATTTTGTTTTTCAGTTCTTTCGTGTTTTGAACCAGTACAACATTGTTTACCGATTATTACTGACGGGAACACCTCTACAGAATAATTTAGAGGAACTTTTCCATCTTCTTAACTTCCTTTGTCCAGAGAAATTTAGCGACTTATATGCCTTCCAAAATGAATTTGAAGACATTGCCAAGGAAGACCAAATAAAGAAGCTTCATGATTTATTGGGACCTCACATGCTTAGGAGATTGAAAACAGATGTCTTAAAGGTAAAATTGCAGTTTTTATTTAAAATTAGCACTGTAACACTTGGGTTTAGCATTTTACTTCATTATTATTACTATTATTTAGTTCAAATTATAATAAGGGTTCTTATTCTCATCTCAATGGTAGTCTCCCATCAAAGAAGGGTGACCCAAAAAATGCAGACAGTATAGTGATTTTTTTCAATATTCATCTTTATTGATACTGTCTTTGGTTTAAAATGTGTTCAAAACTTCTTTTATCACAGAATATGCCGACAAAATCCGAGTTCATCATTCGTGTTGAATTATCCCCTCTGCAAAAGAAATACTACAAATACATCCTTACTCGCAACTTTGAGGCGTTAAATTCAAGAGGTGGCGGACAGCAGGTACAGTAGTGGCTTTGCATGTATTTATTTTATTCTCAGAAAGGTTATTATGCTGTAGTTGCAGAGATGTCTATGAACTGTGTGTGTAATAAATAGCCATTTTGTTTGGAAGGCTCAAAAACTTTAACTAAAATGAAGTATGTTATAGTATACTGTTAAATGTTTAGTTATGTTGTAATTGCTAGAATTGAAATAAAAATGGCAACTTGTATTTTTTTATTCATTAGTGCCTTTTATTTTTTTAGGTGTCTCTACTCAATATTGTAATGGATTTGAAGAAGTGCTGCAACCACCCGTACCTGTTCCCAGCCGCTGCTGAGGAAGCACCAAAGTTGCCCAACGGAATGTATGCCACAAGAGACTTGGTGAAGGCCAGTGGCAAGTTTATTTTGTTGGAGAGCATGTTGGAAAAACTCAAGAGAGATGGTCATCGGTAAGCATTCCATTGTTGGTATATCTGACAACCGAAAAAATATTTTAGAACATTCTACGTGCTTTATCAGTAGTTATTTTATATTAAAACAATGTGATTGAAAGTGGGTAAAGTTGTGAATAAAGCAACAAAATATTTTTTAATCACTAGTTCTTTTGGTATCAAAAACATTTTTGCCTACAGTATGTTTCCAAAAACTGTACCTCATCTTCCCTACTTGCATCAGTCCTCATTGATGAAGCACTATCATATATTTAGTTAGAAAGTAGATACTGTACAAAACACATTTCTGTTAAGAAACTTTTCCAAGATGCTACAAGATGCTTACAGGTTTAGTATTTCCAATTAAAAAAAAAAAAAAAAATCCTTTTGTTAGAACAGTACTTAATTTTTTCAGTTGTGATATTTATTGAAAACTTTTCTTCAGGGTGCTGATTTTCTCTCAGATGACCAAGATGCTAGATGTGTTAGAAGATTTCTGTGAAGGTCTTGGTTATAAGTATGAGAGAATTGATGGTGGTATTACAGGTCTGTTACGCCAGGAAGCTATTGACAGGTAAGGATGGTTTTTCTTTGTATTTCTTTGGATTCATTTATTTCTTTATTCTGAAATCATTGTAGGAAATATGTGATGAATTTATTTTTTTGAGACTAAGTAATCTTAAAGCCATGCCTAAAATGTGAAGATTCTCCTTGTTTTTATTAACAAGATTAAAATTTTGCAGTAGATGTCACTTTTTTGAGACATGTTAACAAGATATAATTTGGTTAAACAGTGCTACCCAAGCTTAAAATAAGCTGATACTTCACATAAAGGCAAATATCCTGTTACCTGAAGTTCCACTCCTTCCCTAGGAAAATAGTGAAATAATTGCCAGGGTTTGTTTTGCACCAAAACTAGCCTAGTAATCTTGCCAATTATTTTTTTAAGTAGCTTAATTTACCTAACCTATTTAAAAATTTGCATAATTTCATTGAGCTGTTTTCCTTGGAGAGGGAAGCGACATTCAGGTGACCCCTTCTGCTAAGTAATTGCCTTTTGCTTGCTGTTTTTTCTTTGTTGTTAGCTGTAACTATTTTCAGATTTAATGCACCAGGAGCTCAGCAGTTCATGTTCTTGCTGTCAACACGTGCTGGAGGTCTGGGAATTAACTTGGCCACAGCAGATACAGTTATCATCTATGACTCTGATTGGAATCCACACAATGATATTCAAGCCTTCTCTCGTGCTCATCGTATTGGTCAGGCAAACAAAGTGAGTTGGGAGGATTGGGGGGGCTATTCTGTTTTGTTATTTACCATTTAATCATGTATGTAGGGCTGGTGGGTCCCTTTAAAAAATATGTTAGAAAATACAGTACATGTGGCATGTAGAGAATAGAAATAGAAATGTACAGTAAACACAGTCAGATAAAACTTGGGAATAACTATTTTGTTCATTAAGAATGTGCACTGATGCAAGTATATGTTTAGGTCATGATCTACCGATTTGTGACACGTAATTCCGTGGAAGAACGCGTGACTCAGGTTGCCAAGAGAAAAATGATGCTAACTCATTTGGTTGTACGTCCTGGCATGGGGGGATCCAAGTCCACTAACTTTTCAAAACAAGAGCTTGATGACATTCTTAGGTATGTGTACAGAACAAGTTATTGGTATGTGTGCAGAACACATTATTTCATGTTATGCAGTTAATTATTTAAAGTATTTATTTTTAAAAATTTTCATCCAAAAAATGTTTATTATATAAAGGTATCTGAAATTTTACCAGCTTGTTTTAATTTGTATACATACTGGCCTTATATTGAATTAATGTTATTTTTGTTTATATTAAGCACATTATTCACTCAATAGGTTTGGTACTGAAGAGCTTTTCAAGGAAGAATTAGGAAAGGAAGATGAAGCTATCCACTATGATAATCAAGCTATTGAAGAGCTCCTAGATCGTAGCAAAGAAGGTATTGAACAGAAAGAAAACTGGGCCAATGAATACCTCAGTTCATTCAAAGTAGCATCATATGTTACCAAGGAAGGAGAGGAGGTGAGATCTTTAATAATGGCTTTGTTAAAAATTTTTAATTTCGTTGCATTTTAACCCTTTGGCTGTCGTGACCCCAAATCCTAACATGTCTCTGTGTGTCGCAAAATATTAAAAAAAAAAAAAAATTTTCTTACCAAAATGTTAAGATTAATTTGCTGATTGCTTTAAGCTCCCCCCCCCCCCTCAAAAAAAAAATTGTGATCAGTACTTGCCGAGATAGAGGCGTAAAGTTGGCAGAAAATGAGCCGCGTATGGCAACAGCGGCGAATGCCGCTCACCCGGTCAAATTATTTTTACTCCCTTTCGAAGGTTTCTTGTATTTTCCAATATTTTATTTTTTCAAGTAACTTATGTAGCCTGTGAAACCAAAGTAGGGTGCAATGTACATATGTACACTCGTATGCAACACAATAACTGCACAAGCATGTTAATGCTGTTCTTGCTGTTAAACAGCAGGTTTAGTGCTGAAGGGGTAGTGTAGGTTGCAGAGATATGGCTGTAGACTAGTGTGGCTTTAATTGAAAAGGAGTGAGTACACAACAGGCAAAGTGAGGGGATGACCAATAGCTAGTCCGTGGAGGGAAGGTTGTTGAACCCGTGGGGGTAGGCCGTGAAGTGAGAGCTGGTAGGCTCCACGTCTCGCTGACCTGGGCAGGCCTAGAGAGGGCAGCACCATAGTGCCGCGGGATATGAAACTGGCAGACAGTACATGCTGTCTACAAACATTATCATCATTATATTGTTTACAAAACTTGTTTACACAAACCAACAATACAAAAAAATTTTTAATGCTATTATTCTATAATATATATACAAGTGTTACCGTCCTGCCAAGTGAGTGTAACACGAAAGCCTGTAATTGTTTTACATGATGGTAGGATTCCTGGTGTCCTTTTTTCTGTCTCATGAACATGCAAAATTTCAGGTACGTCTTGCTACTTCTACTTACACTCAGGTCACACTACACATACATGTACAAGCGTATATATACATACCCCTCTGGGTTTTCTTCGATTTTCTTTCTAGTTCTTGTTCTTGTTTATTTCCTCTTATCTCCATGGGGAAGTGGAACAGAATTCTTCCTCCGTAAGCCATGCGTGTTGTAAGAGGCGACTAAAATGCCGGGAGCAAGGGGCTAGTAACCTTCTCCTGTATATATTACTAAATTTGAAAGGAGAAACTTTGGTTTTTTCTTTTGGGCCACCCTGCCTCGGTGGGATACGGCCGGTGTGTTGAAAGAAGAAAGAATATACAAGTGTACACTCACTGGACACTTTCCTAGAAGTGCTGCAGCTTGTGGAACTCTTTGAACATGGTGTTATGTACAGTCCTGTTTTACACTCCTCACACATAAAATGAGAGTGTCTGCATTTTTGTTGGCAGGTTGTTGTGGTTGTGCAGGATGTTGTGGATGTGCAGGATGTTGTGGATGTGCAGGATGTTATGGTTGTGCAGGATGTTGTGGTTGTGCAGGATGTTATGGTTGTGCAGGATGTTGTGGTTGTGCAAGTTGTTGTGGTTATGTAGGTTGTTGCAGTTGTGCAAGTTCAAGTTGTTGTTGTGGTTGTGCAAGTTGTTGTGGTTGTGCAGGTTGTTGGGGTTGTGCAGGTTGTTGTGGTTGTGCAGGTTATTGTGGTTGTGCAGGTTGTGGTTGTGCAGGTTGTTGTGGTTGTTCAGGTTATTGTGGTTGTGCAGGTTGTTGTGGTTGTGGTTGTTCAGGTTATTGTGGTTGTGCAAGTTGTTGTGGTTGTGCAAGTTGTTGTTGTGGTTGTGCAGGTTGTTGGGGTTGTGCAGGTTGTTGGGGTTGTGCAGGTTGTTGTGGTTGTGCAGGTTATTGTGGTTGTGCAGGTTGTTGTGGTTGTGCAGGTTGTTGTGGTTGTGGTTGTTCAGGTTATTGTGGTTGTGCAGGTTGTTGTGGTTGTGCAGGTTATTGTGGTGTGTGGGTGGTTGAAGCTGGCCTTTCTTGTGGATGTACATGACACAGCATTACACCACCACCAGCACCTACTACCACATGTACGTATATACCATCCCAATTGCAACATTACCCATACCTTCCTACCTACCTTCCTTCATACCTTCCTTCCTTCCTTCCTTCTGGTATCCTGGGTATTGCTTTTGGTCACAAACTCTGCAGGACCATGAAATTCATCTTTACTGACACTTCTATCTGTGTTAGAGCTATCATTTGGAAAGAGAAGAGTCCCAGATTCACCGGGGAGTCAGATATTTCTTAACGCTAGGCATGCTGAACAAGGCTACTGAAATGGCGTTCCCACAATGCACCACTGGCTCCCCGATTTTTTTATGCTGCGCACACTGACCATGGAGACCCATTCTCACATGTGGGCCTACCAGCTTTCTTTTTCTTGATTTGAAACCGCTAGAATTTTGGTGTATTAATATGTCAAAAAACATTGGCTCGTAAGACCTATATATACGGCTGAAACAGTCAAAGGGTTAAAGCATGCTATTTTTTTTTTTCAAACTAAATGTCATGTCTTCACAGTGTTTTCAAGGTGAAGTATCTCAATTGTTATTTTTTTTATCTTGTCGGCTGTATCTATACATTTAAAAATATTCGTACTATACGTGTGTACAGTAGAAGCTCATGATTCTTGATCATGAGGATGGGTGGTATAGTAATGAAGGCTAAAATGGGCTTTCGATAACTAGTTGTTTGCTAATTGTTTATCACTTTTATTGCATCAGGAGGAAATGGAGGATGTTGAAGTGCTGAAGCAAGAAGCAGACAACACAGACTCTCAGTATTGGGAACGACTCCTTAGGCATCACTTCGAGCAACAACAGGAAGACTTGGCACGCACTCTTGGCAAGGGCAAGAGAGTCAGAAAGCAGGTAATTTTTTCTTAGCTGTTTGATGTGGCTTGTATGAACTGGAAAGATTAGGTGGGAAATACAATGCCTGCACTTTCAAGGAGGAGTTTGGGATATTTGCTGGTTGGAGTGACATCTGAACTGTTGTATCTGAGCACCTCTGCAAAGACTGTGAGTATGTGTGAATGATGGTGAAAGTGTTTCTTTGTTGGGTCACCCTGCATCAGTGGGAGAAGGCCGATATGTTAAAAAAAAAAAAAAAATGAAAAATTCAGCATTATACTAAGTTCATTTGTTTAGTGATAATACATTAAATGCCAAGCTTCTTTTTAATCAGAACTTGGGTTACATGATGTGGTCTACCCAGTTTATGTACTAATCTTGTGTTCTTAATATTAGTTTTTTTTTTTCATCAAATCTTTCCTTATACTGCATTATTATTGTATTGACTCCATCCTGCTATTAGACTGTTAAGAAGTAAGAATTTTTAATAGCTATGATAATCATAAATCCGTTAATGCAAATAAGGTTTCTGACTATTAATGTGTCTCTTGAGATTAATATTTATTTTTTTCTGATACTGGTTTATCTCTCTGCCAAACAAGGTTGTTGCTAACAAATACATAACTCTTTTGACTTTTTTATTCTACGATATATATGTCATTTTAACAGGTGAACTACAACGATGCAGCAGATGGTAGAGAAGACTTGACGTGGCAAGAACAAGGATCAGACTATAATTCTGACTTCTCCATGCCTTCTGATAATGACAATGATGATGAGTTTGATGAGAAGAATGAGAGTGAGTACAGTGGAACTTTATTATGTTATACTTTCACATGACTAAATGTTGAAAAGTTCCCCAAAAATATTTGCTACCCTTAAGGATGGCAAAACATATGCCAAAAGAAATTGCATGTGCTGGTTTGATAATCACAAAGTAGATATCATACTCTTAATTGTATTCCAACAACTAGTGAAACCTACCAGACGGGATTATTTTCCTGACTCGGAGAATAATTAATGTAAAGACTTAGTATGCTTTTCCATATGTAGGCAGTGAGCCATCAAGTAAATGACAGACAGGTGAAACAGAGCGAGTGTTTATTATAAGAATGCTTCACGTGAGGAAAGTTTTTCAAGTTAATAGAGCATTGACAACTTTCTGTCAAGACATCATGCTTGCATTCACGATGGAGAAAAATAAAATTCATGCTCAGCTGGTTCTGAGTACAAGGCTGCTTGTTGCAGACACGCCCAACCAACATTCCATCCTCCCATAGTTAGGTAGCTGCCAGCTACCTCTAGTGAGTTTATACTTCAAAGCTAATAAAAAAAATATGGACACTCTTCCCCTCTCTGCCTCCCTTGTCAGTTCCAAATTATATTGGAAGTCAGGATGTGAGAATTGGACAGTATATATGTAACATGGCAGTAGCAGATTTGCTTATTCACTGTGGGATTACCACTCCATGAATAGGTACAGTGGACCCTCAGTTATCGGCCGTAATCTGTTCCAGAAGGCCGGCCTAAAAACGAAATGGCCGATAACCAAAATAATTGTTGTTTGCTTATGGAAGATAGGGAGGAGGAGAGTTTGTTTGGAAGGGGAATCCCCTTCCATAAGGATTTCAGGTATCAAAGCCCTATTTGGGGTTACTTCTCTTCTTTGTCTTTTACTGCCACTAGGGCCAGCTTGAGTCACTGGACCCCTGTCGCATGAAATATTTGTCCAGAGAACTCTGTTCTGGCGTCTCTTTAAGATTTCCCTAAAGTGGGACAAGGTTCTGTCACTGAACCTGTTGCAGATGTAGCTTGTTTCAGCTTGGTCAGGGTGATATTTCTCAGCAAAACCTTGCACCCTAGTCCACATTGCATAAATCTCCTTAATCTCTAAAGAAGGCACCTCCTTCACTCCCTCTTCCTCCTCTTAAGCAAGTTCCTGAGCTGTGGTCTGTTGCTGTTCCAGATGAAGGTCTTGCTGGTCTTCAGTGGTTAGCTCTTTCCTGTGGTGGTCCTCCAACTCTTCCACATCCTCACCTCTAACCTCCAACCCCACGGATTTGCCCAGAGATACAATGGATTTCACAACAGGTGTAGGGTCCTCAGGGTCAGCCCCAAACCCTTCAGAATCCCTCTCTTGGGACACATTTTGGCCACAGATTTCTCCAAGCAGAGTTCAAAGTCGTGGAAGTCACTTCCTCCCAATCCTTACCTATATGGAGGATACTGAAGTGCTTCCTTCAGAACTCTCTTAGGGTCAAATCTGTCCATGGTTACTTCAAAGCACTTTTGAAACACTGCTTTGGTGTACAGTTTTTTGAAGTTAGAAATGACCTGCTGGTCCATGGGCTGGATGAGAGGAGTGGTATTAGGAGGCAAGAACTTCACTGTGATGAAACGGAATTCAACAGACAATATGTCTACCAAGTTTGGAGGATGAACAGGAGAATTGTCCAGTACCAGGAGGCCCTTGAGTGGCAATTATGTTCCAGGAGGTATTTTTTCACACTCAGACCAAACACATCATTCACCTACTCTGAAAATTTGCCTTGTGACCCATGCATTATTGTTAGCCCTCCACATCACACACAGTTTACTCTTGAAAACATTGTGTTTCCTGAACACACTGGGATTTTCAGAGTGATACACCAGCAAAGGCTTCACTTTGAAATCTCCAGTAGCATTAGCACAGAACAAGAGAGTAAGCCTGTCTTTCATAGGCTTATATCCAGGCAGGGCTTATTCCTCCTGCATAATGTAGGTCTTCTTTGGCATTTTCTTCCAAAACAGGCCTGTTTTGTCACAATTGAACACTTGTTGGAGGAAGAATCCTTGAGCATCTACGTACCCCTTGAATTCTTGCTCACATTTTTCAGCTGCACATTTATCAGAACCTGCAGCCTCTCCATGCCTTTCACACTGTGTGTGCCACTACGCTTCTTAAGTCTCTCAAACCAGCCTTTGCTGGCCCTAAATTCACTAACAACAGCACTTGTTCCAGACATTTTATTTACAAGATCTGCATACAACTGCTTTGCCTTCTCACAAATCACTGACTCCACAACATTTTCTCCTGCTAATTGTTTTTTCCTGATCCACAGACAATAATAACTTTTCCATATCTTCCATTATTGATGACCTTTGTTTCGTTATCACATTTACTCCTTTCGCAACATCAGCTTCCTTGATTTGTTCTTTCTTTGCCAGGGTAGAAGTGATGGTAGATTTGTTTTTTTCATGCATCCTGGCAAGTTCCAACATTCGCATACCACTCAAATTTTTCAATCACTTCTCTCTTAAATTCCATCGTGTTTCTCACTTTCTTTACCACAGGAACTTTACCAGGAACATTCTTTGGGGCCATGCTTGCTTACTTCTCAGTTGCACTTAATAAATAACAAAGAAAAACGCTGATTTATAGTGAGATGTTTGGATGAATGAACAGAAGCTTCCTCACTCAGCCAGTGACACAGCTACACTGACTCAGGAATGTGCGAGCATCACCAGCTGATAAGCGAAATAACGGCCGATAACAGCAACCACCCAGGGAGGTACTACCATCCTGCCAAGTGAGTGTAAAACGAAAGCCTGTAATTGTTTTACATGATGGTAGGATTGCTGGTGTCTTTTGTCTGTCATAAATATGCAAGATTACAGGTACGTCTTGCTACTTCCACTTACACTTAGGTCACACTACACATGTACAAGCATATATATACACACCCCTCTGGGTTTTCTTCTATTTTCTTTCTAGTTCTTGTTCTTGTTTATTTCCTATTATCTCCATGGGGAAGTGGACCAGAATTCTTCCTCCGTAAGACATGCGTGTTGTAAGAGGCGACTAAAATGCCAGGAGCAAGGGCCTAGTAACCCCTTCTCCTGTATAAATTACTAAATTTAAAAGGAGAAACTTTCATTTTTCTTTTTGGGCCACCCCGCCTTAGTGGGATACGGCTGGTTTGTTGAAAAAAAAAAAATCTGAGTTTTCTTTGATTTTATCTTAATAGTTCTTGGTCTTATTACTTTTCCTTTTATATCCATGGGGAAGTGGAATAAGAATCTTTCCTCTGTAAGCCATGCGTGTTGTAAAAGTCAACTAAAATGCCGGGAACAATGGGCTAGTAACCCCTTTTCCTGTAATAATTACTAAAAAGAATAAGAAGAAAATTGTCAAAGTGGGAAGTCTGTGCGTGGATGTTGTGCAAATGATAAGAAAGAGATGATTGTGGATGTTATGAATGAGAAGAAGCTGGATGTCCTGGCTTTAAGTGAAACAAAGCTGAAGGGGGTGGGAGAGTTTCAGTGGAGAGGAACAAATGGGATTAGGTCAGGGGTTTCAGATAAAGTTAGAACTAAAGAAGGAGTAGCAATAATGTTGAAGGATAAGCTATGGCAGGAAAAGAGGGACTATAAATGTATTAATTCAAGGATTATGTGGAGTAAAATAAAGGTTGGATGTAAAAAGTGGGTTATAATAAGCGTATATGCACCTGGAGAAGAGAGAAGTGTAGAGGAGAGAGAGATTTTTTTTTGGAAATGTTGAGTGAATGCATGGGGAGTTTTGAACCAAGTGTGAGAGTAATGGTGGTTGGGGATTTCAATGCTAAAGTGGGCAGAAATGTTGTGGAGGGAGTAGTAGGTAAATTTGGGGTGCCAGGGGTAAATGAAAATGGGGAGCCTTTAATTGAGCTATGTGTAGAAAGAGACTTGGTAATAAGTAATACATATTTTATGAAGAAGATAAATAAATATACAAGGTTTGATATAGCACGTAATGAAAGTAGTTTGTTAGATAATGTATTGGTGGATAAAAGGTCGATGGGTAGGTTCCAGGATGTACACGTTTTATAAAGGGGCAACTGATACATCGGATCATTATTTAGTTGTAGCTACAGTTAGGGTAAGAGGTAGATGGGAAAAGAGGAAAATGGCAACAAGTAAGAGGGAGGTGATATAAACTAAGGGAGGAGGAAGTTCGGATGAGATATAAGCAACTATTGGCAGGAAGGTGGGCTGGTGCAAGTATGAGTAGTGGGGAGGGCTGAAGAGGGTTGGAATAGTTTTAAGAATGCAGTATTAGAATGTGGGGCAGAAGTTTGTGGTTATAGGAGGGTGGGTGCAGAGGAAAGAGGAGTGATTGGTGGAATGATGAAGTAAAGGGTGTGATAAAAGAGAAAGTTAGCTTATGAGAGGTTTTTACAAAGCAGAAGTGTTATAAGAAGAGTAGAGTATATGGAGAGTAAAAGAAAGGTGAAGAAAGTGGTGAGAGAGTGCAAAAGGAGAGCAGATGATAGTGGGAGAGGCACTGTCAAGAAAGTTTAATGAAAATAAGAAAAAATTTTGGAGTGAGTTAAACAAGTTAAGAAAGCCTAGGGAACGAAGGGATTTGTCAGTTAAAAACAGAGTAGGGGAGTTAGTAGGTGGGGAGATGGAGGTATTGGGTAGATAGCGAGAATATTTTGTGGAACTTTTAAATGTCGATGAAGAAAGGGAGGCAGTAATTTCATGCACTGGCAAGGGAGGTATACCATCTTTTAGGAGTGAAGAAGAACAGGATGTGAGTATGGGGGAGGTGGGTGAGGCATTACATAGAATGAAAGGGGGTAAATCAGCTGGAACTGACGGGATCATGACAGAAATGTTAAAAGCAGGGGGGATATAGTGTTGGAGTGGTTGGTATTTTTTTTAATATATGTATGAAAGAGGGGAAGGTACCTAGGGATTGGCGGAGAGCATGTGTAGTCCCTTTATATAAAGGGAAGGGGGACAAAAGAGATTATAAAAATTATAGAGGAATAA